CCCTCTTCTCCAGACGGATTCATTCCCTCGAGGAGGAGAGATTCGGCCTAAGGGAGACGAAGACCCGCTCCTTCGAAGAAAGTCCTCTCAAACCAACAAGGAGGCAAATCATAAGTCCCCTTTCCCGTCTCCTCAATAAGATCAACGCTCCCCCTCAGATCGAGGCCTCTTCGCCTTTGAGGAAATAGTAGATGGAAACAGAGCAACTGTGGTCAGAGTCGAGGATGACCCACCTGATCCAGGAGCAAGAACTGGCCCCACGCTGGTCTGTGCATCCTTCTTAGCCTTTCTCGCCTGAGCAGAAAGTGTCTTAGTCAGACGTTTCTGAGCAGGATTCATGTTTTCTGCAAAACAAACAAAAAAGACAAGAGTCAGTAAAACGAAGAGTCAAATAAATGACGACCATATACTGGAAAAAAAAATTTATACCCAGATATATAACGGGATCCTTGCTTCCGAGGAGCTCCTAGACGTTTATGAGACTCGGCTCAAACACGGGCTCCCCGTTTTTATCCAGCACTGATCTACCTCCCTGACCGACTCGCTAGACCAGAGGAATTAGAGCTACAAACAAAGTCAGAGTGGCGAAGCTCGACAGGTCCTCATCCCCAAGCCCCCCTCTCTCCAAACATAGGAGCCCAACTCCTTCTCGAAATGTCTGCTGGTCCATTGAAACAGGAACTTGGCGACCAACTTCGCGGTAGGCTCCCCCAGCTCATTTATACAAGGAGTCCCATCCTCGTTGAGCAAAGGCTGGCTCCTAAAAACATTCAGCAATGCCTTCGTCGAGGTGGGCTGCACCAAGACGTACTTGTCCTTAAAGTGGCGCACGAACTCAAAGTAGGCCTTGAACAACTTCCCGTTGCCCTGTTTGAGGGAGACCCATCCCAACCTTCCGTCAGTCCTGCTCCTCTAGATGTGAAAACAATAGAAAAAAAACGGGATCGTAGCCCCTATCTTCAGATAGTCGCACACTATCTGGAACGCCCGCACGAATGCAATCCCGTTCGGATGCAACTGGGAGGGAGCCACGTGCAGGTGCCGGAAAACGGCCACCTCAAAGTCAGAAAAAGAAAGGCGGAGACCCATCTCCTAGAAGACTATATCGTACATAGGAATCCGCCTCCTATCATATCTCGAGCAAATCCTACTGTCCTTCCCGGGGATATACAACGACCACTCCTTCCGGGCCCCTTCCTCGTGGGTGTAAGCATCAGTGAAAACATCCTCCCCGTGCTCATAAAAATATGACCGCCACTCCCAAGGGTCTTTCGCAACCCAATCTCGAGGATCCTCATCATCTCGAGGAGGAAATAGGCCGCCCCGAGCCGAAGAGGTCGCCCCCATGTTAGGATCCCCCATCTGTTGATCCGTCTGGTTTTGCTGCTCCCTAGAGATTTCCAATATGCTCGACGAGCTACAACTAGTCTCGGTCGAAGAGCTCCTGGAGGATTCTGTAGACTCGCTCGAAATGAAAACCTGTGCATCGTCAGCCATAGCCCCTGGAAAGTAGAGGAAAAAGATGAGCTCGACATCAATGCCAGAACCACCCTTCCACCGCTGAAAAAGTGAAAGGATGATGGGAGACGAGGATCGTATCCCCAACCAGAACCCTCACTGAGGTACGCTGACTGGAACAAAGCGCGGGAGAAAGTCCTAATCCCTCACTAAGGCACACTAACGGGTTGGAATCGCAGAAAAAGCCCAGAAATCCCATGAGGTATTCTAACGGGCACAAATTGTAGAAAATCTCAAACCCTAAAGAATCACCTATAACACAACGTCAGGTCCCCGAGGAAGCCCCACGACAGCTCCAACAGCCATACGCCACAGAAACAACGTCCTCCACCTAGAGTCTCTAACGACCTCCTCCCTAACGGAATCCTAAATCCTAACTGCATGCATATCTAAAAGACAAAAAACAAAAACACTAAGACATGCAACAATGGAGGAACGAAAACTCATCGATAGAAGGAGAAGAGATGAAGCTGGATGACCGCAAACGAAGAAATTGAGCAAATGCCGGTGGTCGACTGTCGAACTAATACGAGCAGTTGAAGGAAAAGGCAAAAAATACTAATCTCCCTGTTCCTCTCGTATTTATAGCTGAAACAGCTCGCGCGTACCAAACACGCGCCTTGGGAACCCCAGGGTCGTCATTATGACACCCTAGCCCTAGGCCATCAATTGTGCCGCTCAATTGACACGTTTCCCAAAACATGCTACCTCTCCAAATTCAAAAGTCCCAACGACAAACGTTTCTCCTCCCCAACAGAGAAGTATAACGGGCAAATGCTCATTTCCCCGTCCCTCGAGCAGACATCAAAGTCTTCACTATGCCCAGAAGAAACGACTTGGAAGGCTACTATTCTAGACTGGACCGAAAGCTTGAGTGGCCCCAGTCTAAGACATCTCATAGGTGCCACCCGTTGACCGTGACCCGGACTGCCCGCACTTGTCGGGTAATGTCACCCTTTTGCCCTTCTGGTCCAGCGCCGATCCAAGATGCTCGTCGAGCATCTTCTTAGCCTGTCCGACACCAGTGTCGTGCAAGCCACCAGGGACCGACCCGAGAGATGCCCGTAACCAGCCTCCTCCCCGGAACCAACGGCTAGTTACGAGTACATCTATCCGATTTGACCAAGTCCTGGAACTTACCTGATTTTTTGGACCCGCATATCTAGGCGGGAAATCAGGAACCAATGGCCATGCGCCAGAGGAATTATATAAACCCTCACACCTGTGAGGGTCAGGTATCACATATTCATTACTTACTACCCGATGTTTTGCTAGTACCTCATTGCTCCCACTCTTACTTAATCGTTGGAGTACCTTGCAGGTACAACCCCCTCTCTCCTCAGCCCGACTGAAGATCATCCTCCGGCCACTTTCTAGGTTCTGATCAACCGCAAGATCAGACGTGAAGTATGCATTCCTAAATGGACCCTTAGACGAAGAAGTTTATGTTAAGCAACTAGTTAGGTTTGTGAAACATGACGAAGAGAAAGGTGTACAAACTACATAAAGCTATGTATGAATTGAAACAAACTCAAGGAGCTTAAAATAAGAAGATTGATAGTTTTCTAAGGAAGAAGGAATTTGTGAAGTGCACAACTGAACATGGAGTATATGTAAGAAGAAGCAATAGTAAATTGCTTATACTATGTCTCTATGCCAATGACTTGTTAATAATAGGTAGCTGCAAGAAGAAGATCAAAGATTTCAAAGGTGATCTCAACAAGGAATTCAAAATGTCTGATCAGGGTGACATTTCATACTTCCTTGGCATAGAATTTTATAAGAGCAGTAGAGGTTTGATGATGCTTCAAAGAAGATACACAGGAGAAATTCTGAATAGATTTGAGATGGAAGAATGCAACTCAACTTCGACACATGCTGAACCAAGGTCGCAACTGTCAAAAGGTTCAGAAGAAGATAATGTCGACCCAACCCAATACATAAGACTTATTGGGTCATTAAGATACCTTTGTCATACAAGGCCTGGCTTAGCATACATTGTAGGTATGGTAAGTAGATTCGTGCATAAGCCAAAGGTATCACATCTAACAGCGGTGAAGAGGACACTAAGGTATCTCAAAGGAACTATTGACTATGATATTTTGTTTCCTACAACTGATAAAGAAAAATAATGCAAGTTAGTAGGGTACACTGATTGGAGTTGGTGTAGTGATGTTGAGGATCGAAAATCCACAACAAGATATGTGTTTATGCTAGGTGGTGCACCAATTGCTTGGAGTTTGAGAAAGGAACCAGTAGTGGCATTATCATCATGCGAAGAAGAATACATAGCTGCTTCTCTTTGTGCATATCAAGCAACTTGGATGACGAATTTGGTCGAAGAGATAACAAGAAAAAATTATGGAGCATTATCATGAAGATCGACAGCATGTCAGCTATCAATCTGGCGAAGAACCCGATAGCTCATGGTTGAAGCAAGCACATCGAAATGAGCTTCCACTTTCTTTGAGAGCAAATAGAAGATGTGAAGTTGAACTTGAAACACTACAGAACTGAGAATCAAATTGCAGACTTCATGACAAAGGGTTTGCAAGTTGAAGTATTCAAAGATTAAGAGCTATGATGAATATAAATAGCTTAGATACAATGGATTAGGTGATGTGTTGAAAGTAATTCCTTGTGTCAAAGCAGTTTGCTCGACAGAGACAATGAAATATCGAAAATATTTGATTTGATTTAGAAGTATGGAAACAATTTGTTACACACATATTTGATTTAGATATAAAATAGATATATTTGATTTAAGTCTAAATTAGATAGATTTGATTTAGTTCCAAAATAGATATTTTGAGCTTTTATAGTTTTGGACTTTGACTTAGGGAGCAAGCTAACCTAAACCTATAACCTGTATTTTTGTAATCAAGTCAATTAATTGTATTTACAAAATTTACAGTTGCAAATGAATAATAAATTTTTTCTATAGTTTGTGGATAAAGAAACTTTGCAGAAAATAATTGTCTTCTTTCTTTCTTTTATATAATTCATTGTTATTGTGTGGTGTTATCAATCCTGTCCATCAAGATTAATAGAACTTCATCATAAATATTTGATGGATTTCCAACAGCCTACAATATCAATGAGACGACATAGAAATTAAAAGATTACATTGAGATACATCAAATGTGTCTACAATTTTCAAAGATCGAGAGATATGAAAGTTTGTGGTCAGGATGTTTGTGTTCCATCTTCATCAGTCCATTTACTTATTCATTCAAATCAATTATCTTCAAATCCCTCATATCCTATAGATGTTGGATCTCTCTTTAAGTCTGTTAAGTTTTAAAAACAAAATGTAAAAATGTTCCATGACAAGGAAATGATTTATCTTTTTCCTTCTTGTTGATAACTTTACAAAATTTTCTACACTAAAATGAGATGATTTAATTTAACAAAAAAACCAAAACCAGTTCAGGATCTAACAAGAACTTAACTACCATACAACTAATTTTACACAACACTAATCAAAATTCTTCTGGTAGAGGTTTTCCTTCCAAGAAGGACTTGAACAACACAAGTGATCTCTCAGGTTGTGAAAAGGGTGCTTCATGTGATGCTCCTCTGACTGTTGCAAATGATAGTATGTTACCATAAACCTGAGTCCAACCACCAACCTAAAAACAAAAATGAGATAGTAACTCACGTCGATATCAATAATATTTAAAAAAAAGATAATTGAATGTAATTATATGTGTCAGACACACTTTCATTCTGAAGTGTCAGTAGTATTAAGAAAACGCAATAAGAATCACCTGCTGCCTTTCAAACCACACCCGGTATGGCACAGTGGTATTGATTCTCAGTGTTTTCGCCAATCGATCTACTAAAGTTCTACTTCCAATCAATGGAATGACCGAATCCTGATCACCACTGCAAAACATAACAAGTGGTTGCATCATAACAAGTGGTTGCATCAGTAGATAAGTTCAGATAAGTCAATCCAATTATATTTTTGTTCGCAAAATTATTCAAAAAACACGACGCATGCACATACCTATAGACCAATACTGGTATTCCTGCCTTGACTAGCTTGCCTACGACAGTGATCGTCGGGATCTCCAAGTCGTGCAATTCATAATCCAAGACACTGATGAACATAAACCATAATGTTCAAGATTGCTTTTAGCAAAAGCAGCATATGAAGGGTATAGAAGAGAATTACTTGCTACAAGGAGACCATCTTTGTGTCCCGACTAGACGCGCCTGTAAAGCCGATTGAACGTCTTTTCTGTTAAGATAGTTGAGCGTTTCGTCTTCCACACATACATCAATTGTTTCTGTCCCTTGCTATTTGAAAAATGAAAACAAAAACAACACCATCATTTCATATAGCCACTAAAGTATCTGACTAAGGAATCTTGAGTGCACACAATTCAAATTTGAAGATAAACTCACCTCGGGATTGAGGACTTTGGTTTGTGAAAACACAGAAGATATACAAACGTCGAGTGTAACATCATACTTGTCGACAAATCTACTTGTTTCTGTAGTAACTCGACTCATCACACTCGAACAAAGAGGAGAAACTGCGCCGTTATAGTACTCTCTCACATATCTTGAGTAGTTACAAACAGAAGTGAACATTTTGAATGTTGAGTCTGATATCAATCCATGTGACCAAAAGAACTCGGCTCTTGAATTAAAATCTGTTGCGTATTCTAGTACTGGATTGCCAAGCTGCATCATAGGAAACTCGTTGCTATAAAACATTGACACCATATTGTATACCACAAACACAAATACGAATACCAGACACCATGATGTATACTAACACAAACACAAACACCAGACACCATGTTGTAGACAAACACGAACACGAACACCAGACACCATATTATGTACTAACACAGACACGAACACGAACACCAAACACCATGTTATATACTAACACAGACACTAACACCAACACTAACACCAGACACCATGTTGTATATTGACACAGACATGAACACCATGTTGTATACTTACATAGACAGGAACACAAACACCAGACACCATGTTATATACTAATACAAACACGAACACCAGACATCATGTTATATACTGACACGGACACGAACACGAACACTAGACACCATGTTATATATTAACACAGACATGCACACGAACACCAGACACAGCGTTGTATACTGACACTAAATTGTAGAATAATTGGAAGTTTGTGGTTTAACTTACAGCGATGCCTTTTAAATTGAACAGCTTCTCCTTTTTGTTGAATTGAAGCATAAGTTCAGCCAGTTGAGGAACATAATGACCTAAATGATAAATTGCAAAAACATCATTACTTCAACTTACCTAAAAATTTATACAAATAACAATAGATGCTTGTTTTTACCAGCATAGCTCTCTCCTACAATGAACAAACTTCTGTTTCTGTATTCTGGAAACTTTACAAACCAGTTTTGCAAGAAGATTAGATTATCCCTGGCTATAAAACAGAAAGACCAAACAGTTTCAGAAAACCAATACAAACATCAAAAGAAAAAACAACACTATCAAAATATTACCGTCTTTGAGGGTGTGCAAGACGGAATATCGCACTGGACTTAAAATTTGTCAGAGTTAAACCGTGGTTAAATAGGCCATAAAATGTACGTTTCAGCTAAACCGTAGTTAAATAAGGTCTCTATTTATTTTATCCTGATTAAACTGCGACTAATCTATACAAGGCCTCCAAAAAATTGAGACGACTCTGATGATTAGGAAGTGCATAACATACATAACTTTAAAGTGAAAGAGTAGATAGTGAAATAACATTATGCAATGCAAAACTTTGGACAAAAGGAAAATGACAGAATTTAGTAAAAGGTAAAGATTAAAAATAAAAGCAAAAGAAAGATAATGAGAACCGAGAATAGAAAAAACTGAAAAAAGATAAAGAAAAATAACTTCAAAATAGTTGCATCTGATGGTGCTGGACCATTCAAAAGAATAACATTGGGAACCATTCTAAAGGTGGAAAAATTTACCTGTAATCTTGTCATTTACACCTTCATAAGATGAAGTATCATTTGAATAAGAAAATCCTACTCCAATTGGTGATTCCAAGTACAACATATTTGCTTCTGCAATTCATAATCACATACACATTTACAATACTTATGAGCCTAGCACCAACACTTCTGGAAAAAAGATGTGTACGTGACAGTGTCCCTGATAGTATCGCGTGTCAGTGCAGTGTCGTGTTCATAACTTATGAGTATGTCATATAATAGTTAAGCAGAAAATGAAACCATGGTAATAATTGAAATGATTCAACCAACTCTCAGATGGTTGAGTCGGCTGATTCGGTCCGATTTTTAAAAGACAAACCTGTATTCCAGCTGAATTGGTTCCTAACCAAAGCCTGTCCTTTAGGCCTAAAAGGACCATTTTCCGAAAATGCACCAACACCAAGAGAAGAACAACCAGGCCCTTCAAAACACCAATACACAAACTTCAACTTTTCACAAAACTTCAAATCATAACTATCTAAGTGAATGAAATAAATAGGTCTCATAATAATCTAAAAACTACTTTGTAATAAAAGAAACAAAACTAAAAACTACCTCCATTGAGCCAGAGAACAAGAGGTTTAGAAGCAGCATAATTCTGAGCTTCAACAAAGTAGAAAAAGAGTGATTTTTTGTTTCTGTTATCAACATTAACATAACCTGAAAACTGGTTAAACTCAACATGAGGTTGACCTGGTAAATGATTGATCTTATTAGGGTGTAACACTGCACAGGAACATAGGTGGAGGAAAATTGCAACACACATTGCAATGGAACAACATAGTATAGAAGACATGGTTTTTGTTGTTGTTTGTGTTTTTTGTCTGGGTTCTGTTTCAGCTGCAGTTGCAGATGTAAGTACTAAAAAAGCTTAGCGTGGTGCTTCTGTTCTGTTTTCTTGTGTATTTAAGTGGAAAAGTTTTTACCTTTTGTTGGAAAATGAGGAATATAATATAATAGAATATACAAAAAAATTAATATATTCTATTAAACTAACTCACCTCACTTATAAAGATATATGTTTAAATTTGTGACATCATATTTATTTAATTTTAAATAGTAAAATATTGGACCATTTACTTAGTGGATAAAAAAAAAGTTCAACATAATTTTTAGGATAATATGTTAATATTTATGTAGGCATTATTATTTTTTATTTTTGTAAATTGAAATTTAGCTTATCTAAATTTTTTAAAATAAAAGATAATTAATGGACACCAACAATATGACATATTTTTGCCTCTAAATAAAGTAAATACTTTTAATTTGCAATTTTAGTGATTAAAATGAAAATTTAAAATGATTACAAGGAATAAATTTGAAATTTAATTTAATAAAAAAGGAAATAGTTAAAAGTGAATAATAGAAGAAGACAGAATAGGAAGAAGAGAAAAGTTAAATTGGAGCATCTGCAAGTGCACGTGATGTTTTACTCTTTTCTTTCTCTCATGAAAGTAACGGCTAGAATGTATTTATACTTTCACATTTCAAAGAAAATATGAGATTAGTTGTTACTTATATAATAAGTTACAAATCCACTCAAAATAACAAAATTAATTTTACAAAATTGGTTCTAAAGATTTATGATTAACTTCAACATGATTTTGACTAAAAAAACTGATAATAATTTGAAACATAAATTGTTTGGTTCATTTCATTTCATGCTTTGTGATTTGAATTATTCATTCAAACATCATGGGACCACCCTAGGCCCCTACTACCACCAACCACCATTGCCTTGTTTCCATCACTCATGTCATTCTCATATACTACTATTTTTTATTTTATTTTTATAGAATAATTAGGTTTTGCAAAAAAAAAAAATAGTAATTACGTTTCGAAAAAAAATTATCCGAATAATCAAATTTCAAGAAATATCTATAAGGAGGATGTAACACCCTAATTTCTCTTCAGTAATTTAACCAATAATCAAAATAAATTAATTCATAAAATAAAATATTAAAAATAGGATGTCACATCTTCACACATCATACATGCTCATATAAAAATATACGCAACAAATAGTCACTTATTCATCATGTCTGAACTTTGTTTCATTTATTCACAGTGGAAAACATCACTAGTAATTATTTTCAACATGAGTGATAGTCATCATAATTCAAAATTCAATGTAAAACATCAATTAAATCTAACAAATGGAGTTCCACAATAGTTTACTCCCATCATAATAAAACAAGCGCAAAACCCCCCAAGTGTTATGTATCAGAGCTGACATCGACTCAATCTACGTAAAATAAGGCACTTCTCAGTGAATCTCTATCTCGAACTACGTCGGATCATCTGCACGTTACCCACGTAGATGTAACATTCAAACAGAAGGGGTGAGATATCACAATAATATAAAAGGAAGTATAATAACGAGTAGATAGCAATTTAAGTACGCTTAATTATACTTCTTTACCTCACACCTTTACTTTATTCATCACACCACAAAGTACATAACCATATAAGCAAATATACACACAACACATAACACTCATCATAATATAACTCATACTCTTTCAGCATCAAAACATCAAGTTATCCATTGCATGTGGTACCAATATGGCAGAACCCTCATCATAATGTCAACTTAGGGCATCAACATCATAACGCTAATACAAGTCATCTCTCGCCAATACAAGCCATCATTCGCCAATACATACTATCGTTCGCCAATACAGACCATCATTCAAGAATGCATGAGACATTGACATACAACAACGCAATTCACATTGATTATTCTTACTCATCAATGCCACGCCAATACATGTCATTGTCATCATCATTATCATGCAATACATCGTGCAAAATAATCGAATTATTCATACAACATCATCTTACTCAATCACATCTCAATTTATGGCACATTACTCAGGAATATACACGGATAGACATCAATGTTAGTCGAATAATTAGCTAATGTTTTCCAATTTATTTTATAGGATAGAAAATCATTTTAGCTTCTTACTGGTCTAAACGGCACGTTAAACGGATACCCGAGTCAAAAGTTACAAATTTTCAAAGTTTCGAAAACATTTCGGTATAGCACAGACAAGAAACCGGTTTCCCCGAAATTAGAAACCCGTTTATGCATTTTCATAGTAACCTGCGGGACAAAACACATTAAAGAAACTGATTTCTTAAAAACGGGAAACCTATTTCTCCTCAGACAGAAACATGTTTCTTCTGTAATTTCTCAATCGAAACCGATTTCCCAAAAACCAGAAACTAGTTTCTGTTTCGCAGAACAAATTTTTCTACTATTTTCTAGAACATGATTCATGTTCCAATCAACCCCAAAACATCTCAATTTTCAATTCAAATAAGTATCATATGATTTTATAAAACACACACTCCATACCAGTCATTCCAACACAACTCACATCAACAATTTTAAACAATTTCATCAGATTCATAATTAACAATTTATCAAAATATAAAATCCCACAAAGCAATAGTATTGAGAAATCAAGAACACACAATCATGGAACCTAATCACTACCATTCTCCATCATCATGCAAACCATCATAGAGTTAGAACCCCACCCTTACCTTGAATTTTGCCGGTTCTTGACTCTTACAGTGAAACTTCTTGCCCTAGCCTTTTTCTCTTCTTCTCTCTTCTACAAACTTTTTCTCTGTTTTCTACGTTGTTTTTTTTCTTCTCTATCATCAACTCTATTTTATTCCGACACTCATCTTAGGACCCCTAAATTATAATACCAAACTTGCCCTTCCCAATTAAATAAATAATAATTCTATTATTCTACTAACTATATTTATTTAATTATTATACTTTAGTATTAAATCTAATATTTTATTTCAAATAATGCCAATAAACTATTTATCTCTCTACACCTTATGTTTCTACAATTTTGAACATACACCTCCATTATCTTAACTCTAATAATTTCTAAGGTATTTAATTCCCAACAAATACATCACAACACAATAAAAGATTCACTAAAGCACACAAACACATCACATCACTTAATTAATTTTAAATAAAATAACTCAACAAAATCGGGGTGTTACAACTCTCCCCCACTTAGAATATTTTTGTCCTCGAAAATTACATGATGCGAATAACTCTGGATAACCCTCTCGCATCTTCCTCTCTGTGGTACGGTGGGAGAACTGACTTGGGTGTTTTGAGTTTGATCGCAAATGTTGCGGTTAGCAAGAGACGCCACCGACTTTTCTTTTATCCAAAAGGAAAGGTGAAAAAGCACAGAAAAGACCTTTGAGATTATTTCTTGAGTTCGGGGGGTAGATTATGAAAAGGGAAGGTATTAGCATCCTTTTCATCCATGGTTATCCATGGGATCTTAGTTACTTTCTAGATCACTTTCTTTTGTTTGAAATTGTGCTTTGTGTAGTTTTTTTGAAAGTATTTTGTAAAGAGGTCACTGTTTAGGCAATCTTTGTAATGATTCTCGTTTGTAAGAATGTATACAAAGATGTTGATCTTTTGAAAATATTTTCAAGTTTTGTAAGATGTTTTGAAATGTGTAGGTGTTTGTTTTGAAAATAGCAAGGATGTTTTGTTTGAAATTGAGCAAATAATTAGGAGCAATCTACCTACTTAAAAGTCTTTCTTGTTCATTTTCTTTTCTTTTGACATTGTTGTTTTACCAATGATTTGGTAAGCAACCCTATCTTTGGATGTAAACGGGATGGGCGTGGGTCATCGTATAACCATGATTAGCAATATTGCAAGGTATCTTAGCATTTTCTTTAAGGGACTAAGATCATTTGTAAGGCAACTTTGATAGCGTCATAGAGGGACTATGATCTTGTATTCGCGTGTTTTTGCTAAGATACCTTACATGCGTAATATGACCATTTTTGTAAGGTAACCAAGTGGATTTTACCCTAGGGGTGCTTGTGTGCGAGTGTATTATTTTAATGCTTAATTTTGTCTTGAATTAGGGTTTTCTATTTGATTGATTTTATTCTTTCCATACAAACCCTAATTAGTAGCATTTGAATATAAAGTATTTAAATTGCGGAAAATAAAAATACTAAACTATTACATGATTTGTGGGGAGGGGGTATACAATTTGTAAATGGGGATCTGCAAGAATTTAAACCCTAATTAGTCTATTACAGCCATATTGAATTTATACAATAATTGAAATAGATAAATGTACAAAAATAAATATGCAAGAATGTAAATGCAAAGAAAATGGATCCTTTTGTTTGATTTTTTATGAGAAAAGGTTTTTTTGTTTAGCCTAATTAATTACAAGAAAATAATTAATTAAAATAATAAAAGTAAATCTAATTTAATAAGAAAAGATTTTAAATAAAACTCTAAGTCTATTAATTGATTAAAATAAATTAAGTTTAAGAAAAGTATTTTTTGTATTGTTGTCCTAAAATTAATATATAGTGTTGTAAAATATTTTTGACCTTTTTTATATTAAAATGAATATATTTTAATTAGTGTAAAAGAAAATAAATAATAACCTAGTTTTAAATTAAATTTATAAAATTAGTTAGTAAAAAATAAATAAAATATAGTTAAATAAAATATTTTTTTTGAGAAAAATAAAATAAACTAAGTTAAAATAAATATCTAATTTTTCATATTTTTATGATTTTTTAACATTTTAGAAAACATATTTAATAAGAAAAAAATGAAACAAATAAATAAATAAAAACAAATGGGCCAGGGGGTGCATGCAGTAGGCAGGGGTGGATTAGCTAGCAAAAAAAACAAAGTCAGGCCCAAAGGGCCCAGCGCCTGCAAAAATGTTTGAAAATCAGAAAACATGAAGAATAAAAAAG